ACAGGAAACAAACCTATCTTCTTTAGATCAATTCTTCTACAAATCAGATCATTCTTTGTACTTACTGCGGTGATATTTTGGGGGCCTCCCCTGTAAGGCCACTACCCCACGCTGACAGCAGTGCAGCCAGGAACTGAAACTTGTTTTCAATTATTTTAACACTAAACAAGGAGCTGACTTCTTCTAGTTTACATGTCCTCATACTAACTGCCTGACTCCAAAGCAGACTACAGTCCAGACGAATCAGCACGTCAAGGAGAAGCAGGTTTATCTTTCTGGAAAAAAGACTCTCTGGAAGTCTTCTGAACAAAGGACATCTTCACAGATTCATGTGTATCGATGTCTACACAGAAATGCCAGTATTAAGGATCGAGAACTAAGCAGGCCGCCAGCCAGATGCAGTCCCTTCTCCCTATCAGCACTGCTGCTCCTTTGGTTCCCCTCCAGGTGCAGAGAAGTTTAATCCATTTTCAGATTAACAAGAATAAGCCACTTCCATTCCAATGAGTTGTATGGCAGCTCTCGAGCACTAGGCAGGGAGCTTGCATCGACGACCTTCTCTCAAAGGTATGACAGCAACAAATTTTTAATTTTAGGAGCAACCCTGTGTGTAAGAAAGTCGCGATGGTTGCTACTGCTTTGGCAGCATGGGCAAACAGAGACTTCAATAATCAGGAAGAAATTAGTAAAACCATAAGCTAGTCCAGGCAGGGCTTTATCAGGCTTCCAACGGGCATGGCCACAACACGAGACTCACAAAACCAGTTGAGATGCCATCTGTTGACTCATAAACATATTTTTCTCATAGCTAAAGAACTGCTTTTCTGTTTTAAATCTTAACAGTCCTTAGCTAATTTATATGTTGGGAAGCAGCTTTGATCTTACTCAGATTACCTGCAGGTACTTTCTCTCCCTACTGGCAGTCACCTTGGGTGATTTTTGCCCCCTCAACAAGCTGGAATAATTTCTAAACTGCCATTTCAAAGCAATTTTGAGCCAAAACTAATTACTGATTTCTCCCTGAGCGTACTCGTTCATGAGCGGTTTACGGATTCTCTCTGCGTAACTGCATACACACAGGAAAATCTTTTAAAATAAATTACCTTTTAATTATATGAAGCTGTAAGCACATAAACCTGGCAACAACGGAACTCTACGTACTTTAGCCACCACGACTCTGAGTTGAAGAAAAATCAATACAACACTTTCTGGTGCAACACAAACGGATTAGACATGAACATCACAAAACAACTCACCCTCCCTTATCTGGGCTAGATTCCATGAAGGACAAAGAGTGGTTTCGCCAAAAAAAGAATCTAATCAAAGCTTCCTGCCCTGTAACAGAGTTCGAGGCACTAAAGGATTTTCACAGTCGTTTCACAAACAATGTTTTTTCACAGGCAGTAACTGCCACCTCTTCAATACTTCTTCCAGAGCCTTTTTTCCCCCAGCCTGGGACAGCCTGTCAGATGTTTTGCTTTGAAAAAGCCAGCATAGAACTACAGCACCGAGTTAACGCCACGACTAAAATTCATAAAATCACGTGAGCTTGTTTCTGATCAGAAATGTATGCTCATCAGCACATGGAGGCAAGCACAATGCAATGGCTGACTTCAACTTAAACTTCAACCATAAGAAAATCCAATTATAAGGGTTTTGCAATTTGTAGTATAGCACATGCAACCTTTACTGACCCAGAAAAGGCTGAGGATGGATTTTTTTCCCTTGCTGGGGAAAATACATGGAAAGAAAACCAAACATTTCCAGGTTGAATTTTTAAGGTTTAATTGATAGCTAGTTCAAATTAGTCCTAACACTTTGCATTTAGGGTTAAACCACAGTTGGAAGTCATAAAACCTTCTAAAGGCAGGAGGAACGGGCAAGCTGAGGTTTTATTTTCCTTGAAGACAGCGTGTGGCAAGTCAGACACATCACTTTCTGCTTTAAGCCTGTACCTGACACTGCCAGGAGCAGCAAGAGGGCACGCCTGAGAAAAACTCCACCAGCTCAGTTTGAAACCAGCCCAAGATGGAAACTCGCTGCGTCTGTCAGGGACACCTCGCACAAGACAGAGAAGAGGAGCGTGCTCAGGAAGGCTGCTCGTGGCCATGGCTCCCCTCTGACCCCCCAAGACCCCCCAACAGCCCCCACAGCACAGGAACCCTTCACGGCACGGCACAGGGAAACAGGAAAACAGCACCTGCACGCAGCAAACTGCTGGCGCACGATGCAGACAATAAGAAGGCCACAACATGCCCACGGTTAACTAGTCCCACATAGAATCACAGAATGTCGGGGTTGGAAGGGAGCTCTAGAGATCCCCCAGTGTCACCCCCTGCCAGA